AGAAGAGAATGATACTAATTTTCAATGACATACTTCAACAACTTATGAATACTTTAGAAGCAAAGCTTTTATTGCATGAAAATATTTTGGAATAGTTTTAATAGCAGTAAAAATGCTCTGGAACTCAAGCCCTCTTTATTTTCTTTTTAATATCACTCAGTACGTTAAAGGATTACATATATCATTTATAGTGTATACAATATTAATACATTTTTGTTAAAGTTAATTTTTCCTATACTATATAGATAATACATGGCTAAAATTATTCAACATAAATAATGTTTTTCATTTTTAATAAATTATTTTTAAAATATTGTCACAAAAATCATTAAATTATCTCTTCTACTTTGAGTAAAGAAGACCGAAAAATGTGGCATCAAGCAGTTCTTATAAGGATCGTGTGTACTCACTCACATTTAAGAATCCTCTCATGGTCACACATAAATATGTCTACAAATTAACATTCTCTTAAGCAAGTGAATCTTACAAAACTAGAGGGTTAATTTTAGTGAAATTTTAGTGAATGTTGTTAAACATTGTGTATGTATTAGAGTTAGTTAGAAAATAGTATATTTGGTTAGTTAGTTGTTAGTTTATTCTTTAAATAATATTCAATATCCAAGAATCTCTTCTCCTCTCATTATTCTTGGATTAAATGGTATTAGGAGGAATTTTCTTTTGCTTCTGCATTTTCCTTTCGCTTTTGATGTGATCCTAGGAGTTATCGGATCACACATGTATATACTTTTGTACTTGCATTGTTCATGCTTAGAATAGTTTGTTTTGGGCCTTGTATTTTAGCAATAGATTGTTTTAGGCCTTGTATTTTGGCCATGGGCCTGGGAAGCCCATCGAGCTTTGGGGTGGAGTCTTTTGTATTTTTCTTTGGCCTTGTATTAGGCCATGTTTCAGGGCATGTATTCAGCCCAAATCCCCATCCCCTTTCTTTTCCTTGTTTTAAGGCCTATTAGAGACCATTTTGGGCCTTGAGTTAGCTTGCCTATATATAGGCTAAGCTCCTTTGTAATTTTCAGATTTTAGATTCATTTGATGCATTGTGCATTTTTCTCCTCCCTTGTGAGTTGAGTTTTTCTCTGAATTTTCTCTTTAGAAAATTCATAACACTACTCTTATCATGGATTCTTCCATGTGGTGAGTCCAAACTTGGCCTATCTTCAATCCTTTGAAGTAGTGCTACATCAATACTTCCTCCTTCTTGCTTTCCATTTGCAATTTTCTTCCTTCTTTTTGTTGGAATACATGATTTAAAGCATATATCATGGCTGGTCTACCTCTTGGAGATCTAATTCTTTGGTCTTTCTTGAAGATCTTCTTAAGAAACACATCATTTGGTATCAAGAGCATGGCACAAGAGGTATGTTACATGCAAATCTGAATTGTTTCACTTTTGATCTATGCAATTTGACCTTGAATTCTTCATCTACACACTTCAATCTCTCTAAATTCGTATTCCTTTGGTAATGATCCATTTATGCAATTTTTTCCCACCAAAAATCTTTCAAACTTCATTTCTAGATCTGCACTTTTATACCTTTCTTTTTTGAAATCTAATTGTGAATTCTTCATTCTCACCTTCTTTTCTACACAAATCTGCCTTCAATTTTCGGATCCATGACATTTCATTTTTTCTCGCCAAAATTTGGTTTGAAATAAAACTTAGATCTACTTTTATCCACAAGGAATTTTTAAAATCTGATTGTAGATCCTTCATCTACATCAATTTCTGCACAAAACCATGTGCTACAATTCAAGATCAGCCAACTTTCAATTTTTGGCTCCAAATTGGTTCATTCCTGATTCAAACTTCCAAAACAACGAAAATCTTGTGTTTTCACTGAATTTTTCTTGATCATTTTGTTTCTTAGTGTCTTTTATAGCTTTTAATCGGTTCACTTTCTTGAAAGTCAGTTTTTAGTTTGTTGAATTTTGAAATTATGGTTGCTAGTTCTTCGCGCCAAAACTCTGCATGATTGTTCTTGTGTTCTTGGCTGTTTTCCTTGCAATTCTAGTTGTTTGATTCATATTCTAGCACTTTGGATAGTTGTTTAGTGTTATTACATTGTGTAAATGTGAATTGTGATGTGCTGGAATTTTCTAGAACAATAGATCCATCCATTGCTTCTTGTCCTGGCTAAAACTCATCTAGCTTGATTTAATTCATTTTTGTGCTTAAAGATGTTAGATTTGATGTTTTCTTAGAGTCTTAATTCTGTTCTAGCAAGTGTTATTGGCTATATGTTTTGTTCCTTGTTTAGTTTTGTCTAAATCAAATCCATATGCAACAATAAATTGATTCAATTTTGGTGTAATTCATTGTTAGGTGTTTTTGGTACCTTGCTGAAATTAGTACAAAAACATTAGTGCTATAATTGTGTGGTTATGAAAAGGAAAAGAAAAAGAAAGATACCAAAATATTGAAAGGAGATAGTATTAAAAAAATGATAAAAGGAAGAGCAAAAGCATACAAAGGAGAAAAAAAAAGGAAAGAGAAAGTTAAAACTGAGAATTATATGTTGTGTAATTCATGCATGTTTTTGCATGATAACATGTTCATAGTTTGAGAATCATTAAATTGCAAGGTTGATTGTGTGCTAAATTTGATCAAGTGAGTTGCGTTCTAGAGTTCTAGGATTTCCTTTTGAGTGCTAACTTGTAAAGATGCCTTAATTCTAGCTTGTCATTATTGAATTTCATGTTTGTCACATTTAACTCCCTTTGAGTTTAGAATTCATTGTGAATAAATCTTTTCTTGTTTGTCTTCATTGGTTTCTTTAAGTTTTGTCTACATACCTTTGCTACCATTTAATTGGATTGTTGATTGCATTAAGTGTTACTCACCCATGGTAGCATAATAGAATATGAGTACGAGTTGAATGGTTGTGTACTTTCTTTTGGGAAATTTATTGAGAACTCATGTGTGTCTTGAGTGTAAACATGTGAGTGAGTGGAGAGCACCCAAACACCACACACACATCCTTCTTAATTGTGATTATACTAATTTCGTGTGAGCTTGATCCTACTTGGAGACTATTGAACTTGAAGACTTGTAATTTTCCTTGGAGCAAAGCCTTGTAACTTGGGGTGAAGGGGCTGTTTTGGTTTCTTTTACTCCTTGTATTTGGAGAATTATATTTGCTTGGGATTGGGAATTTATAATTCTTGCAAGTAGATCACTTGTAGTAGGTTGAATTTTACCTTGTAAGTGGATATTGGACTTTGGTTTCTAAGTAGTTATAGGGTAATTTGCGCATAGGCCTTAGTTTAAATTTTGCACACGACTAGTACATGCTAGTTTAGGCTTGTGTGATTGATTTAAAGCTTTGCGATTAGGGTCATTGCATTTTTGGGTGTTGGACTAAGATTCCAATCCTTTCCTCCCTCCATTCTTTGCATTTCATGTTAGGATCTCGGGATGTGAAGTAAGAGTTCACACATTTTCTCCTTCATTCTAATTTTCTTAGTTTTCTTTGAGTCTAGATCCGACTAGCATTGTTAGCACTTAAATTGTTTTCCTATCTTTATTTGTTTCAAATTTTTGAGTTAGGGTCTAGGATAATCATTAGAGTCTGCTTTTAGTGTTATAACTTCGTAAAATAAAGCAAACAAAAATGGAAAGTGATAAAAGTAATAGGAGTTATAGAAGTGATAGAAGTCATAGGAATGGGGATGAGACTCCCTCTCCACCCTATGTGGCTAATTTGATGGTTCAAATGGAAGCTATGAGGAGAGAATTAGCAAATCTCCAAAATGGAAGAGATAAGGAAGAAAGAAGGAAAGGAAGGGATAGGACTAGTGAGTATAGTGATAATAGTGAGAGAAGCCCTAGAAGGAAAAGATATGATAGAAGAAGAAGGGAAGATGATAGAGATAGACATAGAGAAAGAGATGGAGATAGAGATGGTGATGGTGATAGAGATTGACATAGAGAAAGAGATAGAAATAGAGTTAGAGATGAAGATACTAGACACAGAAGAGATGATAGGTTAAAAGAAGTTAAGCTAGAGGTTCTCCATTTTCATGGAAAAGATGATGTAGAAGCTTACTTAGAATGGGAAATGAAAATAGAGCAACTCTTCATATGTCATAGTATTGTGGAAGAAAAGAAAGTGAAGATAGCTATCCTAGGTTTTCAAAATTATGCCCTATTTTGGTGGACAAACCAAACCCATAATAGAAAAGATATAGGGTTACCACCCATTGAAAATTGGGAAGACTTTAAGACCATTCTTAGGAAGAGGCATGTACCCTCATATTATGACTGTGAGCTTCTTAGCAAGCTCTAAAGGCTTACCCAAGGCTCCAAAAGTGTAGAGAAATATAGAAAAGAAATAGAAATTTGCAGAATGAAAGCTAACATACATGAGGAAGAAAGAGCACTATAGCAAGATTTCTAGGTGGGTTGAATAGGGAAATAGGAGATGTTATAGAATTACTACCTTATGTGGACTTAGATGATGTAGTACAACAAGCAATGAGGGTAGAACAACAACTCAAAAGAAAAGGATCTTACAAGAAATTTAATTCAAATTACCCTAGTTCCTCTAAGTGGAGAGATGGAAAAAGTAAGGAGGATAGTTACAAAGAGGAAAATAAAGAAATAAAATCCACCTCAAATGTTAAGGAAAGGAATGAGAAATTCCCTAAATCCCAAAGCTCTAAACCTAGCACAAGTGAGGGAAGTACCAAAACTTCATCCATTAAGTGTTTTAAGTGTCTAGGTAGGGGACATATTGCTTCTCAATGCCCAACTAAGAAGGTTATGATTAGTAAGGGCAAGGACCGATAGTGAGAGGCAATCTAGTGGGGAAGAAGCTTGTGGAAGTGAGGAGGATCTTTTAATTATTATGAGACTCTTGGGAAGCCAAGTAAAAGATTTAGATGAGTCTCAAAGAGAAAATATTTTCCACACTAGGTTCTATATCAAAGGAAAATTATGTGCACTAATTGTGGATGGGTGTAGTTGCACTAATTGTGCAAGCATGAGACTAGTTGAGAAATTAGGTCTTGAAACCACCCCACACCCTAAGCCATACAAGCTTCAATGGCTAAATGAAGAAGGTGAAATAATAGTCAATAAACAAGTCACCATAGGGTTTACCATAGGCAATTATAAGAATGAAGTTATATGTGATGTGGTACCCATGGAGGCGGGCCATTTACTCTTAGGGAGGCCTTGGCAATTTGATAAGAATGTCACTCATAGTGGAACCTCCAACAAGATTTCTTTCATTCATAATTCAAAGAAAATCACATTGATTCCTCTAACACCCAAACAAGTAATGGAGGATCAATTGAAAATGAAAATTAAAAGAGATCAAGAAAAAGAGGCCATGGGCTTGTCTAAGGCCCAAAAGCCTAATAAAAAGGAAAGAGGTAAACAAAAAGTTAGAGGAGATGAGGGCAACTATGATCTTGCCTTAAGTCTCAAGAAGGAGGGATTTCTTACCAAGATGCAAGATGTGAAAAAAATCCTTTATAGTGGCCAACCATTGTACCTAGAATGCCATATGAGTCATTTAACTCTTGCCACTACTCCTTCTTCTTTGGATAAAAGAGTCAAAGCTCTTTTACGAAATTTTATGGTGGTGTTCCCTAAGGAAATTCCTAAAGAACTACCACCTAATTAGGGGATAACACAAGAAGTAGATTGGACACCAAGTGTCTTTTGCCCCTTTTAAGATTTCATGTACCTCATTCCTTATTCATATAAGACTTGGTAGAATTAGGATTTTATTATATTCTTTTGAGTTGTGGTACTATAGACATAGATCGTTTGTTATAATTTTTGAGTCTAGGCATTTAGGAACATATATGTTGTGTATGAACTCGATCCAATTTTCATTTAGTAATGACATGCTACATTTGAGGTCCAATTCATTAGGCATGATAAGCAATAGGTCAAGTGTTTTCTCATTAGGTAATAATGCAATCATATTAACACATGACCTTGTGCATAATGATGAGTTCATAAAGTAGAATACATATATCCCACATTTCTTATAATTCAACTTTGTTAAGAAATTACACTTCATATACTAATAACCATGTCTTTCATAGTTTTGTATGTGTTTTCTTATGGAGATATCTCATTAATTTTTGTATGAGATTTTGTAAAAAATTGCTAAAGGTCAAGCAGCTAATCTTTGATCCAGGTGGATTCTTTCCATGAATAAGCACCTGATCTCTATCCTTCACATTTCCTGAGACTTATTTTGCATCCTTTACTTTGTAGGCAACCTTGATGGCTTGCATGAGGAGCTTAAGGACGCTTCAAATTCGTGGTCGAATTCTTCCCAAGAAGAAGGGGATGATGTGATCCTAGAAGTCATCGAATCACACATGTATATACTTTTGTACTTGCATTGTTCATGCTTAGAATAGTTTGTTTTGGGCCTTGTATTTTGGTCATGGACCTGGGAAGCCCATCAGGCTTTGGGGTGAAGTCTTTTGTATTTTTCTTTGGCCTTGTATTAGGCCATGTTTCAGGGCATGTATTCAGCCCAAATCCCATCCCTTTTCTTTTCCTTGTTTTAAGGCCCATTAGAGACCATTTTGGGCCTTGAGTGAGCTTAGCCTATCTTTGTAATTTTCAGATTTTAGATTCATTTGATGCATTGTGCATTTTTCTCCTCTCTTGTGAGTTGAGTTTTTCTCTGAATTTTCTCTTTAGAAAATTCATAACACTACTCTTATCATGGATTCTTCCATGTGGTGAGTGCAAACTTGGCTTATCTTCAATCCTTTGATGTTGTGCTACATTAATACTTCCTCCTTCTTGCTTTTCATTTGTAATTTTCTTCCTTCTTTTTGTTGGAATACATGATTTGAAGCATGTATCATGGCTGGTCTACCTCTTGGAGATCCAATTCTTTGGTCTTTCTTGAAGATCTTCTCAAGAAACACATCAGCTTTCTTAATTAGTTTGCCACAATACTCCTCGTTCAATTACATTTCTTGTTCCTGATCTTCATAGCGACCTATCCATTTGCTGCAAATTCATATGCTTTTTCTTCTTCAAACCATCTAAGATTGGTTTTGGTCTCACAATCTTTAACTGAGACAAATTATCATTCTTGGATTAGAGCATTGCGCATGACACTCAACTCCAAAAAGAAACTAGGATTTGTTGATAGATCTATTCCAAGACCTAGTGATGATGTTGATCCTGCTTGAGGCTTGGCAATGTAAAAATGACAATGTAAGTTATTGGTTACTTAATTCTATTTCAAAGGATCTCACTCCATGGTAATGGATCAAGATTTTTTTAATTAAACCGTGAAATTGCTAATTTTCGTCAAGGTAGAGGGAAATTGTTTGTGTATCATGTCTCTAATGATCCACAGGAGAATGATGTCATTCCTATTGTTCTTTGGATGATGCCAAAGCTCTTATGACTCAAGCTCAGTACCAACATCTTGTTTCTCTGCTAAGTACCTAACAGATCAAGCCAATGACAAATATAGTGGAACAACATCTCATATTGCATCAACTCTTTCAATTTTTCATTCTTACATCTGTTCATAATTTTTTTGTCACTTTACCAGATCATACTAGAATTCATGTACCTTCTACTACTGGTTCAATTCATATTAATCCTAACCTTATTTTACATAATATGATTTATGTCTCTAGCTTTAGAGTCAATTTAATCTCAATACTTGCTTTATGGACAAAATATTCTAAGATTGTCATTTTTACTGATAAAGCTTGTTTTATTTAGTACAACCTCTCTTTGAAGGTGATTGGCAAGAGTGATTTGCTTGAAGGGTTTTATGTCTTGCAACAAATTTTTCCTATACAACATAGTTCTAATACTAAAAGTACTATTGTGAATAATGTTTCTATTAATGTCTAGCATAATAGATTAGGTCATATATCAAATAAAGTGTTGAATAAACTTGTTGATACTTTATTTTTATCGCAAAATATTTTTCATGTTTGTGATATTTGTCCTGTGAAAAAACTTAGACGACTTATTTTTTTCATGTCTGTGATATTTGTCCTATGACAAAACTCAGACAACTTTTTTTTCCTCCTAATAACAGCATGTGTACTGCTAAATTTTTCTTAACCATAGTAAATAATTACAGCAAATTCACTTAGACATAATTGTCGCAACATAAATTAAAAAAATAACCTACATTTTTCTATAAGAAAAGTATTACTCATAAGCTTAAGAGTATATATATATATATATATATATATATATATATACTATTAAAATATATATATATATATATATATATATATATTTTATTTGGTTTAGTTGAAACAAAGGAAATATATCTCTGTTTATTTAATAATGAGAGATTATTATTATCAAAAATTAAAAAAAAATATTACAGTAGAGTAAATAAGAAAGAAACTATATATATAAAAAGATTTAGAGATAAAAAAGATTTGTCTCACAAAATGAATGAAATTTTAATTATCTTACATTTTTTTTATTTTTTATTTTTTGAATCAAACAAAATAAAATTCTTCTTTTCACTTTCTTTGTGCCAAACATGTATTGATCCATCATCATGGACCTGCGTAAAAAAGAAAAAAAAAATATTGTGTTAATTTAGGTCTTGAAATTATAGATTAGCTTGTTAATTTACTTTATAAAGTTATAAAAAAAAGTTGCAGTCTTTAAAATTATTAACAATTGATTATTTCTGTTGCTGAAGTTATATATATATACATGCCACTGTCTCACCCATTGTTTTACGCATTAAGAATACTATTTTTCTAATTTTGAAGAAAATTTTGTATTTTAAGGAAAAAAAAGTTACTTGAATAAAATAAAAATTGGGTGCAATCGGACGAAGCTGCAGTACACAGACACGTTCAACTTTCTTTACCAATCCTATAATTTAACTCACTTCTTTGATTGACCGAAAAAGTTAACATTTGAAGTGACGTGGAAATTGTTAAGAAAGAGACTCCTTAAAATTAAACCGTCGTTTTGAAACGTATAGTGCAATTTTATTTTCCGACGCATGTATATTGGACTGTTCAGGTATCAATATAGATTTTAGTTCCTTCAAATTTTCGAGTAAGAAGGTCATCTTAAATGCGGTAGAATAATTGTGCACAGGTAAAAGTAAGTTAAACAATAAGGTTATTTTTCACTAAAACATTCTATGATTTTATAATATTTTTTGAACAACTACATCATCATATATTATTATCAAAGTATTTGTAACATCCTTTATAGAACATCTTAAATATAACAATATTTTATCTTATATGTCAGGTGTACAAGTTAAAGTAAGCAAAAAAGATTTTTATAACTGATAACTTTTGTTACACATATAATAAATGACAGGCAAGCATACATATATTGACTAGGTTTACTTGTTGAAAGTTCTATTTTGTGTATAGCTCAATTAAATTTTTTAATATTGTTCCTTTTGCTCAACATAAACTTTTCTTATGTAATCCTTGATTAAAGCACCCATTTTGCTACAAAACTCATCCTTATGTAAAAAATGATGTGTATGCTAATAAATGAGTAGAAATTGTGTGGACATTTTTTTGCAAGTACATTAACAGAATCTTAAATAATTTGTTCTCATTCAATAATACTAATAGCCTATTATTTCAGTCATTTTCCTCAGCTAAACAAGTGGGTACATGGACTTTTAGTTAGTCCACAAACAGAAGCTTGAATGAACCCAGTGTCCCGCAAATAAAATAGATTGAGTTTGTGGGCTCGCAAATCAACCCGCTAACCACAAAATAAATATATTAATATTTTTAACAAATTAGACTCATTTAGATACAAGCTTATGCAAATTAATTAACCCATTCAACTGTAAATTTATACAATATAATATGGTTGAGCTCAAGTCAACCTATGTACCTACCTATGCCAAGTTTAATAACTCCTCGTCTTGTGTTACTAGGCTTCCATAAGATTCACTGGACATATTGTTCGATCATAAAATATTTCTTAAAAATTAAAAAAGTCATTATCAAAGTTTATTAAAATAAATTTTAGAAAAAATTTAAAAATATGATGATCTTTGAAACTAGAGATGAATTTGAGAGTTATTTATATGTAAGGAAGATATTATCACACTACAAAGTTCATTTAAATGATATTTACCTAAAGTTTATTATGCAAATTTATTTTAATTTAAAAAATATTTATTTAACCTTTAAACAATAATTATTGTTATTTTTATTTTTAAAAAAAAAATTATTTATTGAAATATTAAGTTTAGTAAAAGAAAATTTATTTTTAGATAAAAATTATTTTAATAAGATTATAACATTTAGGATGGAAGACAATGCAATTTATACATATATTTTATGATGAACAGTGTAGAAGGTGAAAGGAAATCAATAACTACATTGCAAATTATTGTAAAAAGAGTGTAGTAGTTAAAAGAATGTATTTTAATTTATGAAAAATATTTGAGTATATATTTTAATTTCAAATTTTATACTAAAGAAATAATAATTTATTAAAATTATTATTTACTTTTTCTTTAAATATTAATTAATACCTAAAAAATAATGCTTTGTATGACAATGTCAGAAACAAGCAAATCATTATCCTTGACCCTATTTCTTTAATGTTATAAATTGATGCAAATACTGTATTATTTATTTATTTAACATAAAAATAAATTAA